TTTAAAATTACTCCCAGTTAATTTGTTTTTATTAGGGTTAAGTTATGCTTAATGACTCACATTTTTCATTTATCATCAAATAAAATTTCACTCGAGCCACAAGCTCTTGTGGCTTGCCTAACTTTATTTCAATGATCTCCGTGGCGATACCATTATTTGCACATGAGTGATTTTTCTTTACATGGAATTTTTTTTTTTGAAAACATGCTTCAAGTATTTAAAAATGCTCCGTAAGTAGTTCGTTTGTTGGGATCGGAAAATGGAATCATGGTTCATGATGGAGCCTATCTTTTCGTAAGTTGTTCTAATACTCTACTTTATAGTCCGAGTAGGGTTGGATGTGTAGTACTTCTCTACATAAGGTTCATACATCCACATATGAACCTATCAGGCGGGCTTGTATAGGTACTCCCTGTACATGATTACAAACTAGTTTTGGCTCATGCTACCGAAAGTCATGGAAGCAAAGGAGCGCGTATGATATAACGGTGTACGCGTCCTTATTAAACATATTAGGACAATGTTTATGACATACAACATGCATGAAGTTCCATAGTTTCAAATCATGGTACATAGTTATGATGCAATCATACTTCCATTCTTTTCATGACATAACGTCTCTATGAGACATGTGTATATATACTCGACATATCTACCATGGTCAGCATGTATGGCTCATTAATGTCTCATAGGCATAATATGAACATGCTATTATAACATACATGGTGTGCCATAGTGGAAGTACATGCATGATGTAACATTCATATCATAATGTACTATAATATAACATGATCGTAACATATCACATCATACCTAACATACCATAGCATCATAAATGTGGGTTGTGGTTCAAGTTGGGTTGCTAACAAGACACGAGCGAGTCATGGGTGTCTGGACTAGGCTGTCTAGAAGTTGAGCTACTGCTTATCTTGTTTCTGGGTCGAGTGTTGTCGCAAGTTAGGCTGCACAAGTTGGAGCGACTGGGTTGGGTTGGGCTCTCGATTCTAGTTGGTTTGGTCATGGACCTGCAACTTGTTGATTTGCTTACGTACTTCTAGCATCCATCATCAACTTGGTTGCCCATATACATCTGCTCAAAATGGTCACGTTGAGAGAAAACGTCATGTGACTGAGACTGACTTGGTCATTCTCTTTCATTCCCATCTTTCTTCTCGTTTCTAAGTTGACGATTTCAGCACTCCAGCTTATATCATCAACTGGTTGCCCACTCCCCTTCTTGCACGTAAGTACCTTTTGAAATTCTCTATGGCTACTCACTGGGGGTTATAGTAGTCCCTCTCACAAGAGTTTCGTTGTCTTGATCTCACCACCACTAGGTTATACATCACCCGTCACGCTCAATTTGATGAAACTCATTCTCTTGTTGTCCCTAGCTTCCAGACCCAACATTTTTTCTCTCTTCCTATTTCAAATTTCTTGGAACCACATCTTTACCATATTGATTCATCCCCCTACTCCTTTACTACACATTCCTCGATCCAGCTCCTCTTCGTGTGATATTTATTCTGACATTGTGGATGAGTTTGTGCACATTAATATTTCTGTTGTAGGTTCCTCTTTGTCACCATCGACTTATGATCCACCCTCTATTGAATATGTTGTTGGTTCCTCCTCTTCTTTGGGTTCTCATCCTATGATCACATGAGCCAAAGATGATATGTTTATGACTATTGCTAAACTTCTTTGGCTTACACATCTTTTGCATGACCTCAAAATCCCTGTTACACAATAACCCTTCCTCTTATGTGACAACAAAAATGCTATCTTTTTAGCTCAATTTCATCTCTCACAAGCGAGCCAAACATGTTGAATTAGATTATCATCTCCTTTGGAAACTTGTTGTCGCTAGCGAACTTCGCACACAGCATGTACCTTCCCATCTCCAGGTTGCTAACATCTCCACCAAAAGTGTTCCTCAACTTCTTTTTAAATTTCTCATATCCAAGTTTCACATTCGTTCAAATCCAACGCTTAGCTTTTTGAATTGATTATAGGCTAATATCTTGTATTAGTGAGGATAATTAGTTTTCCATCACAATTTACCATATGCATCATATTTTACCCTTGACAATAGGTTCATATCTAGTATTATTGAAGATAATTAGTCTTTCATTACAGTTTAACATAGGTATCATAGACTAATATCGTGTATCTATTTATTGGGCTTGATCATAGGCTAACATCGGGTATCCATTTATTGCTCTTTCTATTTCATTTGTAATCTATTTAATTTTGTAGATGATTATAAATAGAGAACTTTCACGACTGTGATAATTTTAGCAAATATTCTCAACTTGTATAGAACCCGAACCGGATCGGGTCCAAAAAACATAAAACCCAACCAAACTCTTATCGTTCAAGTTGGTTCGAGTTGGACTCTTAGATTCTCGGGTTGAATGTAGACCCCTAATTTAAATTTAAAAGAATTATTTTGAATAGTTACAATAATTCTCCCACTCTCTCTCACTCCATAGATTTCAAAGTAAGCAAATAAGCATCTAAAGTCGAGAATTAGGATATGGAGGGCCACGGGATGGATGTCTCCCAAAGAGCACACATAGGGTTAAGCATTTCAAATGTAGCAGATGAAGGAGCATACGTGGCAGGATATGATTAGTTGAGCAATCAAATCCCACGTGGCTAAGCAGCTTCCCATCACGTGGCTTTAGCTCAAACCAAACTCCAACCTCCTATACAATTACACACACACACACTATAAGGACAGCCCAGCCTCCTCAATGTCTTCCTCTGTCTCTGATGCGATGGGACCTTCAAATCCTTATCTCTCGCCTTCCCATAATTCCTTTTATGGCCTTCTACATACACATAACTTATTTAAATACCGCTACCCGCTCGGTCGATTTGACCCTACTTAAATAATTACTCGATGTATATACTTTCGATCATGAGATTGGGAACACATCATACATTCAAAATCTATTCTTTAAGGTTTTAACATTCATTATCTGTACGTTGTTTCAGTTTCATCAAATAATTTGTCCGAACTGTTCCGTACTATATTTTAAAATGGGTGAACGTTATTTTTAAATTTTTCGAATGTTTTTGTACCTAAATAAATCAAAATTTTATGAATTGAGTTGGATCGTGAGTTTTTTTTACGATTAAATTAGGTTAAACTAAACCAACTTACATTGATTAGTAATATTTGAAAATATATATTGAAATTGAGGATAAAAAAGAAAAAAATGAGGATTTCTTATGCCCTGGGCGACACACGTGCTACAATGGCCGGGACAAAGGGGAGATTCTGAAATTGCGGAGGCTTGGTTCAATCGAAAGAATTAGGGGAGGGTCGTTTCATTTTTGTATCAAGAACGAAGAGGTATATTTTTAAAAATTTACCATATCTAATCTAATTGAATGAAATTTCTCAAAAATTCGAAATAGAAAATCTATATCTAAGAAAAACCATTGGAATTGTTTATCTTAGTTAAATGTTTTAAATTAAATGAATAGATGTTTTACCTACGAATGTTTGCTTAATCCACCCACCCTATTGGGTGTGAAAGTTATCTATTTATAATCAAACAAATTATAAGAATATTAAAAAGGCAAATTTCTAGATATTTGCTTATAATAAAATATCAAATATGATATATATAGTAAACTATAATTTAATACTAAATATAAATATGTTTCGAACCCAAACCAAAAAATTTATAATTGAGTTGGATTGGGTTCATTATTTGATAAGGATAGTCTGAATTGACAACTAAACAATTCAGTTACAACCAATCATCATTTTTTTTTTAATCGCATGGCTTATAAGTCAAAGTATTTTTCATAACAGCATTTATTTCGAAAATATTTATTTGGAAACGTACTTAAAAAGGGGCTAGGGTATTTTATTTATTTTCATAAAGTATTTCAATTATTTTCCAAGCTTATCCCAAGCTTTCCTAATAATTAGAATATAAATATCTTGATTATAGAGGTACATTTCATATCCAAATATTCTAGATATAAAGTCACCAAATCTATCTAAAATCTAACTTTATCCAATTTTCACTCTTTTTTTTTGTTGTTATATTTTATTCGCTCTTTAATAATTAAAATCTCGAGTATTTTGGATTTATTTAAACTTTTTTTTTAAAATATAAAGTACAAAATTTCAACCAAATAATAATAATAATATAACGATAAACAACTCGTACAATAGGTTGTTAAATATCATAGTCATATATGTGAAGAATATATTCCAAACTCTTTTACTTGCATTCCCATTTTAATCCTAATTTCACATTTAGTTATGGTTGTACTCGTTATTTAACGAGGAATGTTTTAGTTTAAAAAAATCACAATTCGAACAGTAAAAAAAATGTTTTAATCCGACCCAATCACATGGACATATACAATGGTTAAAAACAGCCTAAGCTCAACATTCGCAGAGGCAGATATTGTTCTTTTTCCGCTTCCTCTCAAGGTTTCTATAAAGCGGTTGCTAAGGAGAGGTTTCCACACTCTTATAAGTGTCTCGTTCTCCTCCCCAACCAATATGGGATCTCAAAATCCGCCCCCTTCAAGACCCGTTTACTTCTCTAATCGATGTGAGACCCCCCAATTCACCCCTTTTCAGGGTCCACAGTATCCACCCTCTTTAGGGCTCAGCCTACTCGCAAGCACATCACCCCGCGTAAGGCTTTAATACCATTTGTAACAGTCTAAGCCCACTGCTAGCAGACATTGTTCTGTTTGGGTTTACCTTCAAGATTTTTAAAACGTGTATGCTAGGGAGAGGTTTTCATGTCCTTGTAAAGTTTTTCGTTATCCTCAACCGATATGAGATGTCACAAAACGGAGACGAGACATAAAAGAGTGATTTGAGTGGAAGAGAATGAGCTCCACCAAGCCGGCAGCCAACCAAAAGTGGGCACGCAAGCTTGTATCTGTGTATAAATAAGGTTAATCAGATGCTATTGTTTCCATAGCTCAAGTTTGGTGCCTTCATCTGCATTTGCACCTGCACCTTAACCTCTCTCTCTCTTTTAAACCTTCTTCAGAGAAGGTGTAAGGTGCTGGTGCATTTGCAGCTGAATGCCATCTTGGAAACCCCATAATCTCCCCTTTATTCTAGGCCTCTTTTTACTCATAAACTCAACACGGTCACCATCACCGTCGCCGCCCCGACTCACCAACGACGTTCTAAATGGTTGTCTTGGCTGGAGGTACGGCGGAGAAATGAGTGTTATCAGACATCATGGTAGATAGAGAAGCGTGGTCGGTAGAATCTAGAGGTAAGTTTTATTTTCGACTCGAGTTTCTTTATTTTGTCATCAACTTTTGAAATATAAAAATTTAATAACTTGTATTTATTTTAATTTTAATTTTAATTTTAAACTTTCCCATAGGTTTTATTTTACTTATTTTCATTATTTATTTTTTATTTTTAGTAGAAACTTAGACACCTAACTCATCAGGTGTGACTTTAATAATAATGAAGACTTTGTCCACATAAAATGAATGAATAAAGTATACATTTATATTAGGTTTTCTATTTGATAAGTAATAAATAAAGATTAAAATTATTTTAAATCTTCGAATATTATTGTTGATGCTAAAATTTGGTCGAGAAAATTTTCACTTGATAGTTACGGTCTTAACAGTAAATTTGTAATTTGGGAAAGAAGTGACTTGCAAAACAGATAAAACAAGGAGAAACTGCATACCGACGAGATCTTTATTATACTAACACCGATGATTAAGTCAGATAATTCAGAGAAGATGAAGTTGAGATTGAAGTTCTAGTAAAAATTGAAGTTATTTTCCAATAGAGTTATAATAATATATTTATAATAAAAATAAGCTAAGGCTTACGTTTTCCGATTAAGATAAGATGATTAAGATAAGATGAGAGATGAATTTTTTCCTATAAATTTGATGGACTCATTTACTTGTTGAGTTGAGATTCACATTAACTTTGGACCTATTGTTTTGGTCTATTTTATCGATGCGATTTAACTTTTGTCTATTTACTTGTTGAGTTTTTACTCTCGATTTTTATGAATTTTGTAGTCTTCCTTTGCCTCGGCAAACTTTTGATGGTACTCTCTGAGCGTGCGGTAGCCAACGAGCTAGACCTAAGAGGTACGTATACGAGCCTGCCTGGTAAGTTTATGTGGACCATGTGTGAAAAAGTGCTACACATCTAATCTTTCCCAGACGGGAAATGATAGATCCCATCATGATTACTTATGCATGCATTTTTTGCCTAAAAAAGTGAAGTTACCTATAGAGTATTCAAGTCACGTGCTGCTCTTAAAATACTCAAAAAGTGAAATTGCATTCTTTTAAAAGTTGTAGCCCTTATGTTAGATCATATCGTTTTCATTACTTTGGATCTATTCTTTCATTTCCGTATTACACATGCCACTATATATATATATATATATATATATATATATATATATAAAACATGTTTTTTAAATTTGAATTTGATTTCTATTTAATATGTGGATATAAAAACAATAAAATAAATACATTTCTTAATAAATATTGTTTAAACGTCACGAAAGCAAAGTCTAGTAAATATATTTTAAAACGTTACGACATCATTTCTTTATATCATTGGATAATCAACTCTATTTAAAGATTATTTAAAAAATAATTTAAATTTATTGATCAATAAGAAAGATAGAAATTAAATTCAAATATAAATGACTAAATATATCTTTTAATTTAATTTCTCATTTATTTCCCCTTTGGGCCGTAAGCCCATTTTACTCACTATTTTGCCATTGGGCTTTCCTCTCATTTTCTCGCGATATCATTTAAAAAATTAATAATTTAGAGCTTAGTATTAGTTTGAATTTAAATGTATTTTTTTATTAAAAAAATTATTTGAAATCTGCCTAATAAATTTTAAAAAAATAATAATAAGTTTTATCAAATAATAATATCTATTTTTCCTCTTTTTAGTTTTTAATTAAATTTTTAATTTAATTTGTTGTTCTGTTTTGGGCCTCAGGCCCATCTTACTTGATCTCGTGGCCTCCAGTGTAGAATGACTCTCTACTCTAAGACTAAGAGTAGCATGTGACTTGAGTATTTTAAGAAATATTTAGTAAGTAATCTCATTATTGTAGTCGAAAAAAGCATATACAAGTAATCATGGTGGGACCTATCCTTTTATAAAACATCATAACATGGTCTTGGCTTTTGCTTTCCAATCAGGGCACGGTTGGACTCGTGGTATTTTAACACATAGCCCACCCATGCGCACATGGACTCACTAGGCGGGCTCGTATACATATCCCTTGGATCTGGCTCGTTGGGTTAGCGCGCTCTGTGTTGTCGAACAATATGGAGAGAAAGAGCCTGCATAATATCATGGCGAACATAAATATCGTAAGGTATGCGTCCGTACTAATCATAACGGGAAAGTATCCCAATGCACATGACATTCATAAATGCATGATATCCTCATAGCTTAAAGTCATGACATACGTTTTAAGAACAATTGTACGTTCTTTCATTCATGACAGAACATGCATATGAATTATGCATACACTATTCTTATCACATCTTTCATAATTAGCATACATGACTTCGAGGGTTATGCATCATGTATCATTGATAACATGACTCATATCATAGCATGACATACAATTATAAAATATGACATGTACAAGGCCACCTGACATTGTTCATACAACTATCCATTCATCCAACAAATCCAACAGCAAGGTCAGGTACATGGTTAGTCTAAACTGATGTAACTAAAGTCATTCGGCTCCTTAAATCTCAATTTCATCTAAGGAGTTTCATGACATTGTGTTACAACTTTAACCTCATCGTGTTACAACAATTGTTTCAGACCCCACCTAAGGGTACGGGTAACGTGCAGGTGGGATCTGAAACAATTGCTGGAACGAACCAGGTCTAACGAGCTTGTTTCACTTTAAACATTCCAATAAAGAGACCAACTAAATTCTAAAGTTGTATTAGAAAAGTCTTTTGAACTAACCTGAAAGGGTTGGTGACCAAAACAATTCAAATACAGTTTACAAACCAACTCAACCCTTGAGTTGGGTTAGTTGGTCCGGTTGTTCTTTTTTTTTTATATATATATAATTATTTTTAAAATTCATATTTATCCACCGTGCATGTTATATTAATAACTAAAATATCATAAAATTCAAGTATCAAATATTTACAAATCATAACACATCACTGATATCGGTTACAAATTAAATATTCTTAATTTTTCTAAAAGTAGAGTTGGTTGATTTATAACCCTATTTTCACCTCAGTCAGTCGAGTTGACTCAACTTAAAAATGTCAACCTACAAATGAAACCAAATTTTTAAGTTTTAAAAAATTAACTCAACCCAAACCCAAACACAATATTTATAATTTGGGTTGAAAATTATGGAGTTAAACAGTAAATTTAATGAGAGGTAAAATTGTTGTTTAGTAGGGAATTTGTAAAGGTGCTGGAAATTTAACGGCAAGGGTAAAAGCTGACACCTCTCAATACTTAAATCATTCAATTCTTCCTCATTTCACACCTAAAAATTTATTACTTCAATACATGTTTTTTTAACCTTAATATCTCTCCAATCATTGATATTGATTTGCTTTAGGGTCTTTGGAACTATTGACGTATCATGATCGAGGAAAGGGAAACGAACGTTATCCACCTTACTCAACTTTGATCTATGGGGTTCGTCTCTTTTACTAGGAAGCATATCATGAATCAACAAGCTTTTCAAGCTTTCCTCGACTTTCGTTTCATACGTCAGGTAGAAATAAGCTCCTCTCGACCCAAGTAGCTCAAACATTAACAATATACGATATACTCGAGGATTTTATTTCTATTATAAGATTTTTGATATTTCAATTTAGTTATCATTGTAAGTAAGAAGTTTTAAAAAGCATTCTCGATCTTATCCCGAGTATTTTCAGAATTTTTGAGAATATTTCTTTATTATTTTACTATACACCAAAGTGTTTTAATAACCTAATTAAAAATGCATTTTTTACTGTTGTGAAAAAGCACCCATTGTATTTGAGAATGCTTTAATAAAAGGTTGCATTTGAGAAATGCTTTAAAAAGAAGTGCCTTTATGAAAAAGTAGTTAATAATAAAACACTTTTGATGTAATTTAGAAATATATTTATTGACAAATGTGTTGAGGAGCATCATGTGTGTTCCCTTTTTAACTGGATAAAAGCATCATACAAGTAAGGTATGCTTTTCTCGAGAGTTGACAATGTTAATTCATACCTATCTCTAGGATAAATAGATTCACGAGGGATAATAATTACAATTTCGAGATTCAATTAGTTCGTACTCGAAACCCTTTTCATCTTTCTGTTTTCTCTCCCTTGCAGATGAAAATGATTGTCGGGAATGTGATATGATCGAACAAGCCATTTATAAGGATTGAGGTATAATTTTGTCGGGATAAGAAGTAAATATGTCATTTTACAACAGTAAGGATGTTTGTTCGATTTTATTTAGGTATGCAGTTAACGGCTTTTGTTCATAATCTTAAAAACATTGTTTTACCTTTGCTTGTTCCTGGTGCTCGAAATAATTTTGATGACTTTACGTGAGAATGTCAAAAGCTATACAGGTTTTAGAAAGAGAAAAAAGTAAGGTCGTGAAACCTTTAATAACTCAACTATAGATATGAAAATTCTTGGAAGCTTACAAAAGATAAAGGAAAAATCATCTTTTAACAAAGAAACTCTTTTCAAAGTTAATGTATTATAGATGGCCCTAGTTGTAGTTGAACGAGAACTTTATCATTAAAGTTTTTGTTTGAAAAAAATTAACGAGAGACATCTAAAGAAGATCAAGTTTGTTTAAGAACGATGATGTTAAAGTGGGTTAGATTGAGATCGTCTGTACATTTGTTTGTTTTTACCTGGCTTTTAAGTGCAAGTTGAAGTGTTCCCGTGCCTTTGCGTATAAAGTTAACGCTCTTCCGTGCAGTTACATTCCATGCGTCTTGTCTTCTCTCTAACAAACAGCTTCCTTCCCTTTCTTGTTTCGATCCGACAACAACGAGAATGTTGGTATGTCCTATTCCAATCATGAAAAGACTTCAGCCTCTGGTATGGTCTAACCTATGGACAGAGTCGCCCTCATCTCCCATGGTTTATTAGGGTTGTTCAAAAAACTCAATAATCTGAAGAAAAAAATCGATCAACCTTACTCATCTCATACCGTTTGAATTGGGTTAGGTTTAAATAACTAAAACTTTATCTTTATAAATTAGATTGGTTCATGCGTTCATGCGTTCTTTTAAAACTAGATTAGGTTAAATCGAACAAACTTGAATTTATTGTTAATTTTAAAATATACATTTTGATTACGATAAAATATATATTCATTTTATTTTTATTTTACTTCTTAATTGTTATTTTTTCATTATTTATTGTTCCACAACTTTTAAAAATAATTTTTAGCTATATTAAAAATAATTTTTTTCAAAACCTAAAGAGGGATTAGATCAGCGGACTATGGTGGGTCAAGACGTCGAGTAAAGTCTCCGTCATCTCCAAAAGCGGGGTGGTTAGGTTCGAGTTTGAATCGATCGGGTGGTCGGACGCAATCTAATAGTAGTATATATTTAGGGTTTGAGAAAAACTAAATCTCTGTCATCTGGCTCCTTCCACGCAAGACGATTAGGTTCAAATGGTTTACAATAATGCTAAGAAAGAAGAAGATCGAGACCATTCTTTTTTAGACAAAGGGCTTGACTTCTATAAAGTCAGCGTTAAGGAAGAGTACACCAACTCGTTGGCTATGTAAAAAGAGAGTGGGCTAAAGGGGCTCAGACCGAGAATCACGAAGATGTCGGCAAATTTTAATTAAATATTTAAAAATAAGTAAATATATATTTTATACGTTAACATTTTACCTTTATTAAAAATAAAATTTTAGATAAATTACCTTGATCAATACGAACCAACCCCACTCAAAAACATTTACCCAACTGAGTTAAAAAATTTAACACTCGAACAACTGAGTTAAATTTAAAAAATGCCCAAACGCGACCCAATCCAATTCACGAACACAAAAGGGGCATACGACACATTTCGAGAACAAAGATACACTTTTAAGCATTTTTATATGTAAGCTAAAATATATATATATATATTATTGTCAAAATTTTAAATAATATTTTTGCCTTTTCTCTGACAAATATACTTTTCCACTTTATAAGAATTTCCCGAGAAAAATAAAACCATAAATAATTATATTTTCCATTTTTTAATTTTCCATAAATGCCTTAAATATTTAATATATATATATATATATATAAAAACATAATTCGACAAACGTTTTATAAATTAAATTGGTCAAAATGTCTTGACTCTTTAATTATCATAACCGCAAACTTATGTCTAAATAAATTAATTAAACAATAATTTAACCATAAATTAACTTTTTTATATTTAATTATTCATAATGTATTTATTTAATCCTACTTTAAATTTTAAAAATCAAATAATAATAAACATAAAAGTGAGGGACTAATTTGTAATTTTAGATCATCCATACATACATACATACATTCATCCATGGAGTATGGCACGTCTTCATCGTCACGAACGAAACCGCTTCCTCTGAAATTTCTCTCCCTCTCTATTCTCTCGCTATAAATACTCTCCCTCTCTAAACGGTTTCCCATCTCTCTGATTTCGATTTCGTTTTGAATTTCAGAAGAAGAAACTACCTGAGTTACAATGGGCGAGGTGAGTCGACTCGGATTTTTGCTCTGTTTCTGTTCTTCTCTGTGTTTTTTAGGGTTAATTCTTTAGGGTTTTGTTGTATAGAAGAAGACGAAGAACGAGAATGAGAAAAACGGCGATGGAGGCGGAGGGAAGAAGAAGGAAGAGAATCCATTCACTGTGGTTCTTAAAGTCGATATGCATTGTGAAGGCTGTGCCAACAAAATCACCAAATGTGTTAAGGGATTTGAAGGTATGATCACGACGGCCATGGCGGATTCCTGTTTTTTCTTTTCCTCTGTTTTTCCCCTGTTCTGTTATTTTACTGTCAGTTTCAGATATAAACATGCTCTGTTTTCGATTTTCTGCTTTCCGCCATTACTGAGTAGTGAATCGATAATGCTCTGTTGTTTTAACTGTTAACAGGAAGAACATAAAAGGACCCAAATCGGGTTTCCATGTGTTTATTTTTCCTCTGTTCTGTCATCGTTATGATTTTACTGTCAGTTTCAGATATAAACATGCTCTGTTTTCGATTTTCCGCTTTCCGCCATTATTGAGCGCAGTGAATCGATAATGCTCTGTTTTTTGAACTGTTAACAGGAAGAACAAAAAAGTACCCAAATCGGGTTTCCATTTGTGTATTTTACCTTTCTGTTATTCGGCAATGAAGAAATCTGACACCATTAATGGAGGCGCTCTGTTTTGTTTGTTTGTTTGTTCTTCAGGTGTGCAGACTGTGAAAGCTGAGATTGAAGGAAACAAACTGACAGTAACGGGGGAAAAAATAGACGCATCGAAACTCCTTGAGAAGCTTTCAAACAAGACGAAGAAGAAAGTGGATTTGATTTCACCACAGAGCAAGAAAGAAAAGGACTCGAAGCCCAAAGTTAAGGGCGATGAAGACCAGACCTCTTCTAATAACAACAAATCCGACAAGAAAACAGAGGAGAACAAGAAGAAACCCAAAGAGGTAAAGAAGAAAACAAGAAACCCCTCTTGGTCCCCTCTGAGATTCCGTTGTTTGATTTTGTTTTCTTCTCTGTTTTTGAAACAGCCGCCGGTGACGACGGCGGTGCTGAAGGTGGCGCTACATTGCCAGGGGTGTATAGAGAAGATTCAAAGGATTACAACCAAATTCAAAGGTAAAAGATGATGAACAAGAAATGGGTTCTTAATAGATTTGATATTTGATATTTGATTTTGATTTTGATTTGAAATAATGTCAGGCGTTCAAGAGATGTCATTGGATAAGCAGAAGGAGTTGGTGACCGTGAAAGGCACAATGGATGTTAAGGCCTTGAGTGGTTGCTTAACCGAGAGACTAAAACGAGCGGTGGAGATTGTCCCAACGAAGAAGGAGAAAGACAAGGACAATAACAACAACAACAACAAAAACGAAGGTGGTGGCGGCAACAAGAAAGAACCTCCTGCAGCCGGCGAGGGTGATGGCAATAGCAATGAGAATGGAGGAGGAAAGAAGAAGAAGAAAGGAGGTAACGGTAACGGTGGCGGAGACGGCGGAGGAGACGGAGGAGCAACGGGCATGGAAGAGGGTGGTGGAGGTGGGAAAATGGAAGGGTACAAAATGGAGTACATGGGAATGGGAGGAGGAATAGGATATGGATACGGGTTGAACGGGTACGGGTACGGGTACGGAGCGGGAGGGGTCGTGGGGGAGAATTTACATGCACCGCAGTTGTTTAGCGATGAGAATCCGAATGCTTGCTGGATCATGTAAGGATTAGAAAGTGTAAAAATTTAGAAGAAGAATCCAATGTCTAGTTGGTAATTTGGATAGTTTTTGGTAGGGGAGGGGGAATGAAGGAAGGAAGGAAGGAAGGTTTTTGTTGTTATTTTGTTGGTTAATATTGGATGAAGAGGGGAATTGATTCCCTTTGGGCTAATCATGATGTGTTTGTTTTTTAATATCTTGGCTCTTAATTTGTGCCCATTTTCTACACTTACACTTGCTCCACCCTGCCAACAAGGCCCTAAACTCAAATTTAACCTTAATGTAAAACGGAATCTAAATCAATCACGGTGGCTCGAGAATTTGATCAAGATGGGTTAAATTTTTGGTCGGTTTACAGATTGGTTGAGGAGGAGACCGAAACACCCTTTACAAAAGTGTGGAAAACCCTCTTCTAGCATACACGTTTTAAAGCCTTGGAGGGGAAATTCGAAAGGGAAAAAACCCTAGTGGTGGATCTAGGCGTCGTTACAAATGGACTAGACATTAGACTATGTGCCAGTGAGGAGGCTCTTCCTCAAAAGGGGTAGACACGAGCTGGTGTGCCAGTGAACTCTATTGAGGTTGCTCGAGTCACGAACTCAACCAACTCGAAATCTCAAGTTAGTCCGGAAGATTTTCTCGACCCAATTTGTGCACAAAGGTAATATAGGAAACAAAAATTTCTCTCCATTTTGCCCTTTTCTTTTATTATCTATTTATGATAACTATCTCTTAGATTTTTTTTTTTCTTCATGTAAATCTTAATTGATTGAAATAAATAAATATTAAAAAGAAAAAGATGGAAAATAAGGGTTGTTGAAGAAGGAAAGAAATTATGAGTAATTTGAGTGTTTTGAATATTATTATAAAAAGAATAAACATTTTGGTGAATATTAAAAGTAAAGAAAAATAATAATATATTAAATAGAAAAGTAAAAAAAAAAAAAAAAAAAAAAAA